ACTTTCTATAGTCCAGGTGTACTTTCTATAATCCAGGTGTACTTTCTTTAGGAGAAAAGACGACAACATGTTAAGGTAGAAATAATTACAAACAGGTAGAGCAGAGCAAGTAAAAACAGCAGCAGAGAGAGGACATGAGGTCAATTTGTCCTCCAGCAGTCTAAGCCTATAGCAGCAGAACTAAGGGTTAGTTCAAGAAACCCAAGCCAACCCTAACTATAGGATTTATCAAAAAGGAAAGTTTTAAAACTGGACAATGTGTCAGCCTCACAGACAGAAACTGGAAGTTGGTTCCACAAGAGAGGAGCCTGAGAACTGAAAGATCTTCCTCCCATTCTGCTTTTGGAAACTCTAGGAACCACAAGTAAACCTGCAGTCTGAGAGTGAAGTGCTCTGTTAGGAACATATGGAGCAATAAGATCTGTAATGTAAGATGGAGCTAGGTTGTTGAGGGGTTTGTAGGTTAGAAAGTTAGAAATGACCGTTGATCAGCTGTTTCAGCCATCTTGAATCAGGTTGACCCCAAAATTATTCCCTTGTAAATTTCTTTCAGGTGACTACTTTCTGAAAGTTTCATGAAAAACCATTACGTTCATGAGATATTTTGCTAACAGTGCAGACGATCAAACACGTAGATAGAAACATTATTTCCCACATTTGGGCGATATTCGGAGTTTGTGAATCTTTTCGCTCCTTGTTTCTGGTAAACAGTTGGTTGAAAGGACAGCAGGAGGACAAACAGGACACGGACGTCCACTACCACTCCATCACCGGAGAGGGCAACTTCAACTGGCGCTTCGTCTACCCCTTCGACTACCTCATGGCAGAGGAGAAGATCGTCATCTCCAAGAAGGAGTCCATGTTTGCCTGGGATGAAACCGAGTACAAGATTCCTCCTCGACTTAATCTGCAAGTGTGGGACGCCGATCACTTCTCAGCCGATGATTTCCTGGGTACCGTAGACCAACTCTTTATGTATCAGACAGATAGTAAAAACACTGAGATCACAATTCAATGGCTTCAACCGATTGTCTTTAAACTATTTTTAGACTCAACAAAGTTTCTCTTCGTAGGTGCGATTGAACTGGACCTGAATCGTTTCCCACGTGGGGCAAAGACCCCCAAGCAGTGCACCATTGAAATGGTGACCAACGAAGCTGAGATGCCCATGGTCTCCATCTTCAAGCAGAAGAGGATCAAAGGCTGGTGGCCCTTCGTGGCCAGAAACGAGGATGACGAGTTTGAGCTCACAGTGGGTCAAATCATCGAACAAAACAAAGTGTTAGAATTCCTCAAAGGAAGCGTATCGCCTGCCGACAGAGTTTTAAACTAAAATGATCTCATGATGAGCAGAGAACAGCAACTTACTGACGTGGGCAACAAATGGCCCGAGGTCCAAGCGTGGCCCTTGGGCAGTCTACATCCGGCCCCTAAAATCCTTAACCGAAAAGAAAACTACGTTTACATAAGTTGATAAGATCTGTTAAACATCTTGGACAAAAACCTTAGATTAAGACACGCAGAAATGTTTTTTTTTATGTCATTATGTTTCAAAAACTAAACAAACCCTTAAAGACTCCAGGAACTGTGATGGTTTGGGTCCATGTCCTCTGCTGGTGCTGGTCCACTGGGTTTTCTGAAGTCCACAGTCCACGCAGCCTCCAGCAGGACATTTTAGAAACGTCATGCTTCCTTCTGCTGACGAGCTTCATGGAGATGCTGGTTTCATTTTCCAGCTTGGTGGGCAGTGTTGTAATACTGAGGTTGCGGGTTCCAGCCCAGGTTGTGCCTTGAAGGACGTTCCTTAAAACAACTGCCAAATCTTTCATGTCACTATGGCAACCGCTGCAGAAGTTAGCACAAGAAGGCTGGAGTTGTAATAGATCTGATCAACATTTTAAAAGTTATCATGTAGGAGGATGGGTTAGTGCTCAGGGTGTGTTCGAGTAATGATTCTCAGCTACCACCACAACAAGCGTTAGCTTAATATTGGTCAAACTACTTTACAGGATGCTACGGCTGATTAGCATCTTAATGGGTAGCAGCACCAATAATTACATCTGGGGTTCATGAGATATTTTGTATATAATACACAGATTGGGCGCTTTTGTCCTCCGTCGTGGAACAAAGAGGGGAATTTGGAAACGCCCTCCATCTGGTCATCCATCCGTGCACGTTGTGAGCATGATAACTTAAAAAAGAAGCAAAGTACCGACTTACATTTTGGTGCGTGGCTGCGTATAAGCAAAAAAAATAAATAAATCCTTTAAAAAATTGCGTTAACAGGTCAAAATCCAAGATGGCTGCCACCATATATGTCCACCTGTCTTGTGAGCATAACTTGAAAAGTGACTTACTGACTTCCATTTTGATGTATGGCTGCATTTAAGTGTAAGAAAATTCATTATTGATAATTGGTTGCCTTGTAAAAATCCAAGATGGCCACCGCCGTATGTAAAACGACTTCCCCGATCATTTGCAGAAACTCTGCTCTCCAGGTTCTATATGCTTCAAAGTAGAGTTTCCTCAAATGATTTTGGTGGCTCTTGGGGTGACGGACAGGCCAACTAAGGCCTTTCAGTTGAGATCTTCACCCTGAGAGCTGCGTCACGCTTCAGTCTCCGCCCGATGACAATGGGACTGGTTTATGTCTGCAGGGTAAAGTGGAAGCTGAGCTGCACCTTCTGACAGGAGAGGAGGCCGAGAAAAGCCCGTGTGGCGAGGGCCGGAACGAACCAGAACCTCTGGAGAAACCCAAGTATGACAAACACGCAAGCTCAATTCATGTTTTGTACTTTTTGTGAAGAAAAATATTGAAATGCTGTACAATTTAGAACTTAAAGGGATAGTCAGGTCATTTTTTTAAGTGAAATTCTTCCCCGTCACCCGTGACTTCAGTCGTGGAGCACAAAATCTGGAGAAAGAGGAAGAAGTCTTCATCCAGGCTAGGTACATGAGCCCAACGAGGGCTCCTTTGTGTACGTCTTTCAGGGTTATAAAACATCTAATTTGAAAGAACGAGACGTGAAAGGACGAGACGTGAAAGAACGAGACGTGAAAGGACGAGACGTGAAAGGACGAGACGGGAAAGAACGAGACGTGAAAGAACGAGGCGTGAAAGAACGAGACGTGAAAAGACGAGACGTGAAAGAACGAGACGTGAAAAGACGAGACGTGAAAGAACGAGACGTGAAAGAACGAGACGTGAAAGAAC